AAAATTTAGGAAAAGAAAAGTTTTCAAAAAAAAAAAAAAAAAGTCAACGCCGGAATCTGGCCGGAATAAAAACATTTCAGAAAAAAAATTATTTTCTGAAAAAAAAAATTTGGGGGTTAATGTGATATATTTGTTTAAATATGGGGTCAATGTGTAATATTAAGGAAGTTAAAGCATAATGGGTGGAACTTGTGAGAATTATATTATGGAGGGTATTTTAGACTAAAGACATGGGAATGGATTTAATTGAGAGACTGTTTTTTTTGTGGACCAAAATGCATTTAAGTTCCATGTGATGGACCCTTTTGCCATTTACCCTTATAAAAATAAGTAATTATCTCAAATTGTACTCACAATCATTAACTTCTACTTTAGATTCACTAGTATTAATTTATTATGTATTATTAGTACAATAGCAGGAACTCAAATGGAGTACTTAGATTGAGCAAATGACAAGTTCATGATAATCCACTTAGGCCTCGTTTGCTTAGTGCTATTAATCTCTATTAACTAAATAGTAGGGGTTAGTAAGATGTTTGGTTGACGAGATTCGTATTTAGTCAAGCCCGCTACTACACTCAAAGCCCGCAATTAAGTGCTATTATTTGGTTAAATTAGTAGCACCCCTCCCCCTGCGATTAATTTTGTAGGGCGTGATTAAAAGAGGAAATTTACAATTTTATCCTTAAAACCATATCTTAATTTTTTTAATTAAAATACTTTTTAGACAATTCACATTAAATACCAGAATTTAACAAATTTAATACAAGATTTAATCTAACGAATCAAACATCTTACTGACTAAATAATTAATTAGTCACTGGGGTATTAATCCAATCTCACCTAATCTAATGTAATCCGATATAGGTAAACAAACAAGGCCTTAATTAAAAAAGGAAAATTCAACTTTTTTTTTTATTTTGCAAATAAATCTACACCTCCCACATTCATAGGTAATAAGTAAAACTCTACAATATATGTCTCTCAAGAAAGAAAAAAAAATTCCACAATATATAGCAACATTACCCTTGGCCCTTTCAGACAACCCTTAATTCATGATTCAAACTAATTTAATCGCAATTTCACTAATGAATCAATTTTGACCATAATTTTGACAGTCTCTGCAAATAAAATAAAAAACAACTGTAAAACTATAAGCTAAATGTTACTTATATGTTGGCCACAATGAACACCATAACACTATAAATCTGAAAAGGAAGTGCACGGGAAGAACAGTCTACAAGCGACCACAATCATGGATTGGTGTAGAGACTACCTCAAGGAGTATTTAGAACATCAACTGCATTCATTTCTTAGACAACCTCTATGACACCCTACGGAGTGGAAACCACCGGACGATGGAGTGATCAAAATTAATGTGGATGCAAGCTTTCCGCGTGGTGAGACGTATTATGCTACTTCACTGGTCGCTTGCAATTCTGGGGGCGAGTGCGTGTTTTGGATGGTTCACAAGTTCGTCATACGGCCAACGGTGGTAGATGGAGAAGCCCATACTATTTTCAGGGCATTAATCACATCACAAGAAAAAGGAGTGGCCGAACATTATTGTGGAAGGAGACAATTTACAGGTGATAGCAGCGCTTCGGGACAAGAATCATTCGGTTCTTCCGTTTGGAGCATTCATTGAACAAAGTTTGTCTTTATCTAGAGTCTTTATATCATGTATGTTCAATTTATTTGACGAACCGGTAATAACTTGGCACATATGTTAGTGTCGACCTATGGTCATTTTTGTAGCGAGGGATTGACCCTTCCTTCGGACTTGGCGGAAATCGCCCAATAACGTCGATCGGTTCTTCTCCAAAAAAAAGAAAAAAGGGGAAAATTAGAAATCAAAATTGGTGAATTGGGGTTAAATTAAAATTGGATATATTTAAGGGGTTGGGGTTAATTTTATCATAAATAGTAGGATTGTCTTTATTAATAATACATGTCGAATGAGCTTTTTAATTACGAGAAAAAAACCATGAGTCTCGTTTTGAATTAAATCATTGTATTAGGGATCTCCATGTAATTACCCGTAATACAAAATCAAATCGAGTCTCAGACTCTCAGTGATTCTAATTAATTGATTTTTATAAAATTTAAGAAGTCCGACCAATTTTTCGGTTGATTAGACAACTTTAAAGTTTCTTCTTGTAACATTCAATTTACACACAAGCAAATATATATACTAGAACATCAATAAATTAATAACCTCATTTAAAAAAAATCAGAAATTGGTCCCATCTCGGAACAACGTGCTGAATTAATAATTCGTTAAATTCATAAGATAATACACATTCAAAAATTTTAAGAATCCCCATATAATATATAAATAAATTAAGCATAAAAATAGTTCTTAAATTACATAGTACATTACATATTTTATAGATATATGAATGCTTAATAAAATATAATTTAATTATCGTTTGTTTCTTGCTGAAGTTCACATCACCATCAATCTCGTCCCTCCCTTTTCTTGACAAAGTTAGAATTTCTGGTATAATTTTCTCATAACTCAACAGAAAATTGTTCAATATTATTGCTACTTATAGAGCTTCCGTTCCTCCCTTTTCTTGACAAGGTTAGAATTTCTGGTATAATTTTCTCATAACTCAACAAAAAATTGTTCAGTATTATTGCTACTTCTAGAGCTTCCGTTTGAGAAACAAACTCTATACAGTTAAACATCAATAAATTAATACTGTTGGGACCATCAAAATTTTATTAATTTAGCGAAATATTAACTTATCAATAAATTAATAATTATTAATTTATACATTAATTAATAAATTATTAATTTATGAAATTACTTTAATTATTATTTTCAATAAATACATTATTTTTAATTTTTTTACGTGTATATTATTCATTGTATCATTAGTTCAATGCATTATAGAGCCTGTTTCACGAACGGAAGCTCTTAAAGCAGCAATGGTATAGAACGATTTTATGTTGAGTTATGACAAAACAATACCGAAAGTTCTAACCATGTTAAGAAAAGTGAGGGACGAGATTGATAGTAATGTGAACTTCAACAAGAAACAAGCAACAATTAAATTATATTGTATTAAGCTTTCATAGATCTATTAAATATGTACTATACCATGTAATTTAAGAATTATTTTTATGCATTATTAATTTATATATTATATGGGGCTTCTTAAATTTTTCGAATGTGTATTATCTTATAAATTTAGCGAATTATTAATTTAGCACGTTGTCCCCAAGTCGGGACCGGAAAAAATTATTATTTAAGCGAGATTATTAATTTATCGGGTATTAATTTATCGAGATTCTACTGTAGTATACTGAATTTATGGTACAATGAATAATATATACGTATAATATGTATTTGTTGAAAAATAATAATAATAATAATAATAATTTCAAAATTTAATATGTTATTAACTAATGTATATACTAATAATTATCAATTTATCAATAAATTAATAGTCCATTAAATTAATAGGATTCTAATAATGCCAACTGTACTAATTTATAGATGTTTAATTGTACAGGCATACAAATTTTGTATGGTATACACACATAAATAGCTGAATATACAAGTGAAATTTTACGGAGTATTGTATAAAATAAATAGTCTTAACCAATATATTAGACCTCCAAATTTCAATTGAATAGTTCGACCCGGCTAATTATTAAAATGCTATTTTTTATATACGAAACGTATCGACCGTTATAACAACAACAATAACAATAAAAATGCGTCCGTACGAAACGAAAATGGTTTCGTACGAATAATATTTTATTAACAATAAGAATATGTATTTTTTTTTTTTTGATAAGAATATGTAAATAAACAATATTTTCCATGCCAAAAAGCATGCCGGCACCACACGATTTGTTCACATAAGAAAAGCAAATACTCCACCACCGCTTGATGAGAATCAATAAATTTCACACCAAACGTATTAAATGAAATTTTATCCCCAACTCCTTAAGCTAGAAAAGTGTGCACCTTTGTTCCACTAGTAAGGGGGGGACCACCAACGCCGTTAAAGGTTCTACTCATGCATGCCCATCGGTGATGTCATGCCTTTGACGGGATATACTAACGACGTCAAATCCCAGTTGCAGTTTACTCACGTGTTCAAGTCTTGCAAGACCGCTTCCAACGCCTTTTTAATCGTTTGACTTAAATTTACATTTTTGCCCCTCGTCGGCCAAACAAAAACCCCACCATCTTATCTGAAATCTATTTTCTTTTTTAATTACATTGTATAAATTACATTATCATTTAACAACAATTGTTTAAACTATTTAAATGATTATTAAATTATAACAAGAAATTAAAATGTGATACTGGAGATGATTGATTGTCTTACAACAATTCGAGAATATCATTTCTGTAAGATAATCGTTTTCGCTCCGTCACTTCTTGATTTACTTATCAAAGTTTCACCGTTTCTATCTTGTCACGTATAAATGTTATGTCAAAATTGTAAGAATTAATTAAAATTATTGTTACAACTCTATTACAATCTGAAATTACCGCCAAAATTACCAGATTTTACTTTGGTAAAATAAGCACTTCCACTCTACCACGTCGAAAACAATCACTTCCACTTTATCCGTCTAATCTTTTTTCTTTATTAAGATAATTACTTCCGCTCGATCAAGTTTAAATTTCTTGCTTAAAATTATTACTACCCATCTATTATAATCTGAATGTCCCGTCAAAATATCCACATTTCTTTTGTAAAGTAATCACTTCCACTCTATCCGTCTAATAATCTTTTATTTATTAAGATAATCACTTCCGCTCGATCAAGTCAAAATTTCCCGCTAAAAATTATTGTTACCACTATACTACAATCCTCCCTTAAAAAAAATTCACAATTACTCTCGTAAAATATTCACTTCCAGTCTATCACATCGAAGATAATCGCTTCTTCCGTTCTATATTTATGTCCAACAATATTTTCTAATTAAAAATCGCTTCCACTCGATCAAGTCTAAATTTCCCGCGCTGGATTCGGCACAGAAGAAAACAAACGCTTTTCTAATGTATAAAATTGAGGAATAAAATAATATTATTTATTAGATTTCCTAGGTGGTTTACCGGGAGAAAAGAGTTATCAGTTCACGCAGATGCTCCCTTTTACTTGAACAGAATCCCTGCTCTTTCTATTTGTTTGTTTTTCCCCTCTCTCTCTCTCCTCTCTCTCTCTCTCTCTCTCTTCTCTCTCTCATCCTTGAAAATGTTATGCTTTGAGTTTCTCTTCGGCGTCCACCGCTACACAAGATCTTGACCAGAAATCAACAATTCGGTGAGACTCCTATCCCCCATGGCTTCCTAATTCCACAAAATTACCAATTTGCTCTCTCTCTCTCTCTCTCTCTCTCTCTCTCTCTCTCTCTCTCTCTCTCTCTCTCTAGATATTGAAAAGATGGGAGCTCTAAATCCGTGAAATTAAGGAAGAATTAATTGTGGAAACTCTCTTTCTAGAAACACCCACTTCTTGTTAGAGTCTCAGTTGTATACAGAAACTGGATTTTTGGGTTTTTTCTTCGAGATCTGTCAATTTAAATTGCTTGTATGATATCAAAGGTGAGGGAGAGAACTGGTTTATATAATTCACTGGTTTTCCTATGAATTTTTTTTTAATTTTTTTTTTTACAATTCTAATAAATTTGTGTTTTTTTTTTCTAGCAGGAAAATGTCATGAAATGCAGACTGTGAAGAAATCAACCAAGGCTACGCTGTAGTGAAATTCAACAAAAAAGAAAAATTAAGAAGAAGAAAAAAAGTTGGTGGTTAGAGAAGCAAAGAAAGGATTTTTTGCCAGTTTTACCCCTGTAATGGCAGTGAGAAGTGAAGAAGAGTCTTCAGAACTGAAAGACGTACAGATCGGCTGTTCTTGGATTCCGACAACTCCCGCAAAACCCAATTCGACAAATCAGCAGCCGATCTGCGGAGAATGGCTAGAAAATCACCTGGCTCGACCCAATAGTACGAATTTGTCCGAATCGGAAATGCTAAATGGAGAATCTCTGCAAACACAAAGCCAGACATCAGCTGCATGTTATAATAGTCCAGCACACGTAAGTAGAGACGAAGCCGTCAAATCCCATCTTAGCTCGGACTACCTATCGGAATTCGACACGTGGCAAGCGAGTAAGAGTACAAGTTCCCATGTTTATGTAGACAATGCACGCGCGTACGACAAGTTCCCTGTAAATGATATGGACAAATGGCCCGCCATGTCGTTCAGTAATCTATTGGCTCTAGCAGATTCAGCCGGCAACAAAGGACCAGCGCATAATGTACCTGCTACGAGCACTTACGCTTCGACACCGCTTTTTCACCCCGAAATTGAAGGTAGACAGTTCATAATCAGCTTTGGAAATCCTGCACTGCAAGATCACGAAAGTTCGGGAGCAATATATGATGCTGGGTTGAATATGGCGATGCGTAAGTGCACAACCTTGTTTTAATTCTAGGAAATAAAATTCTCGTTTCGGTATTTATTTATTTTTTCCCCCTTTTCCTTACCATTATCAAAAATATTCTGACTTGTTTATATTTGTGCCAGTTTGAGAGCCTCTATGTGGAAAACTTGTGTAGGAACTTTAGCCATGAATAATCGTCCCAGCCAATGAGTTTGCACTCGAGAGATCCATTAAAATGTTGTTTCCTGAAATTAAAAATAAAAAACTAAAAAAAAAATTAAATCTTGCATAATTTGAGTTTGAAATGCGAAAAAGAAAAAAGTGCAACTTTACAGCATCTGAACAAACACATGAACAAACACAGAGAAGCTTATGAAGAACGTAGCCTTCTGCATGCATCATAGACATCTGTTTTTACTTTTTATAATATATTGGTTTTTCAAACTTTGAAAAATGACATGAACTCTGAACTGCTATTCGACAGATGGAAGTTCGGCAGCTTCTAGGCCTTCCTTTAATCTCAATTCACCCCCCAGATCAAACACCAATATTGCAGCATTGAGCAAGAGTGCATCATCCCGTTTTGCTCCTATAACTCCAGGCAAGAACAGTAAAGCTGAGCATAGGCAGGACTCTAATTTCATAGATTTAAGCGTAGACGAGCTCCCAGCAGGAAAGAACTCACAAGAGAACAAAACCACAATGTGTGGAGGAATGGAGCTTCGCAAGAAGAAAGAAAAGTCTCATCTGGTCGTCGAACAATTGTGTGAAGACGACAACACGTCCACACAATTGCAGGAGAATCACAAGCCTGACAAGGAAGGTACCGAGGAAGCTGACATGATCAAAACCCCTCCACCAAAGGCGAGGAAGAAAAAGCACAGGCCGAAAGTCATAATCGAGGGTAAGAAACAAAGGACTCCTAAATCGAGTGCAGTAAAACCTAGTGTTCAACAAGAAACCCCAAGTGGTGTAAAGAGAAAATATGTTCGAAGAAAAGCAGACGACAATCCCATAGAAGGGGATTCAAACAAGAAGTCTCCTGGTCTTGCAAATACAAATACTCCAGGGGAAAAGAGGAAGTATGAAAGGAAAAAACGAACCAACAAACCTGAAGGTGACGATGACATGCATTGTAAGGAAACCGCCGAGACAGCTGAGATAAATGTTCCCCGTTATACCAGGAGTTCGTGCAGAAGATCACTCAACTTTAACTCAGATACCCAAGCGAGAGACGAAAGCTCTTCGTACTGTCCACCTTCGAATTGCAACAGTGACTCACAAGCAGAGAACTTTGATGCAAAAGATCAATCAAGAAATGGCATGGAGAAAAATGACGTGGACACTTCTCAATTACATACACACTCTATAAATCAGTTACATGAAGATTACCTCTCAAGGCCGGAACAACATTCTCCAATGTTCACAGATCAAACTGTATCCACCCGAGGGAAATGCCAAATCATATTCTCCGATGTAACACATGACAAAGAGGTCAATACTGTTCCAGTGAGAATGAATAATCCCGATAGCCGAATTACGCAAATGAGTCAGAGTGATTCCATCTGCAGCAGCACATGCTTGACTCCAGAAAGACGAGTGGGAGGCTTGAAAAGAAGAGGCACGGGTGCAGATGCTGAAGCAGAACTCTACAACAGAAACGACAATGGAGCATTTTACAATTCCTTGCAGGCGTACCTTCCTGCATATTCACAAAATGCACATAATACTTACGGTTCTCCAGGATTCCAGTTTCCAGCAATTTACAAGAAAAAGAGGACTGAGAAGGTGTATAATATGGTCTCATCTTGCTCGCAGCAGTACACAGCATCTACCTCAGACAACAATAATTTAAAACATGAAAGGAACGATGTCAGATTTTCTTGCACGGAGCTTTTCGCATCAATAACCAATCAGGGATCTTCTGGTGCTCAATTTCAAGTTGCTAATTTTGCAGCTGATGCTACTCAGAATGGAAGGCAAATTTTCGAAGACCTGTTAGCTTTGGGACCTACGGAGAGAATCAAGAGGAGGAGATCCAAAGGGGTTACTCGACTACGTGATTTGTCTTCGCTGCTAAAAATTTGTCAAGAACTGCCGTCATCTTCAAGTAGAGAAGCAACAACATGCATGGAAGCCCTTGTAGCCGACACTTGCTCAAAAACGGCAAAAAAGAAACGATCAAAGAGAAGCATGATTATGAATTCTGCACAAAATTCATACAGTCACCAATCAATGGGTAATTATAATAAACCTACATAATGCAACTATTAAGGGAAAAAAAGTTATTTTACCTGACTAATTGCAACTTCTAATGCAGGACCACCATTGGCTCTAACGTGGAAATGCATGTCACCAGTTGACTCGCTCATTGACCAACTTGACCGACTAGATCTCAATGCAGAGAGGTGCCGACCATCAGGACAAGAGCAGAATCCATTTATGGCATACCACAGAGATTATCAACTGCAACATGCACTTGTTCCGTTTCGAAGATATGGTGATGTTGTCCCTTATGATAGTTCATTTGATCAAGTCAAGAGAAGGCGGCCAAGGCCTAAAGTTGAGCTTGATGACGAGACTAGTAGAGTGTGGAAACTTTTGTTGGAAAATATAAACAGCGAAGGAATTGACGGAACAGACGAAGAAAAGACAAAATGGTGGGAAGAAGAACGAAGAGTATTCAATGGAAGGGCAGATTCGTTCATTGCACGCATGCATCTTGTACAAGGTATACTGACTTTGGTACAAAGTACACAAGTTCTTTGATTCTCACTTTGGTAGTGAACAATTAAATTGACATATGCATACGTTTAACATAAATGCCTGTAGCCTAAAGTTTTCAGGCTTACCTCCATCCAGTGTAATCTCTGCTGTCACATTATACAGAATTTCTAAACTTAAATATGTCGTAATTTCTTCACAGGGGACAGACGCTTTTCACCGTGGAAGGGGTCAGTTGTTGACTCTGTAGTTGGTGTTTTCCTCACACAGAATGTTTCGGATCATCTCTCCAGGTTTGGCTGAACTGAGTTATACTGAACCTTGCTATTTTTTAGATTTTTCTTTAGCTTCTGAATCGCAGTGAAGAACTTAAATACGATCATTGAATGTTTGCAGCTCTGCCTTCATGTCACTTGCTGCACGATTCCCCCTCGAAACAGATACGCAGCATGAAGAATTTCATGAAGAGGGACTGGGTACCGAAATGAAAGAACCTGAGGTGTGTGAGCTGGATTCTCATGGAGACTTTGGATCGAACAAAGATATCTTAAAAGAGTCGGTTAGTGGAGAGGTTACCGAGATGCTTCAGGACTTTAAAGATGATAGTGTTAGAGAAGTGGACAGTGGCAATTCTGTTGGGAACAGTTTTGACGGGATTGTCTTAAAAGACAACTTTAGAAGCCAATCAACTGATACATGTAAAGATTGTCCGGTTATGTCCCATGAAACTGTTGCAAACGAAACGGCAAGTTTGGTTGAGGAAGGAAAAGACGCAGTAGAAGACACTCTTTCTTCTCAGAACTCTGTAGATTCTCCAATTGCACAAAACGCTGAAAGGAGTAATTCTTGCTTACTGAGCACCGCAGAAGAGGAACCAATAGCAGGAGTTACAGCAGATAGGTTCACCAGCTCTACTCCGTTTGTAAAGCTTCTACAAATGGCTGGCACTGTACTGCAAGGTGATTATGAAAAAGGCAGTGACAAAAAAAGGTCCGACGAAACTCGTCAGATCCAACTAGAAAGCTTGACCCTTAACTTTCAGAGCACCAGACATTTGGACACTCCTACATTCCCTTCTAATACCGATGCATCGTGTAGTAAGTCTACTATGTCTGATCTACTTTCAGAGTTTGAGTTATCTCAAAAAAACAGCCAGTTATTCAGTAGTTCCGGCGGAAAAGAAATTTGTGCGGCTGAAATTAGTGAATTCTCTTCCGAGTCTGCCTCAGGTACCACATTTCGAAATATTTCAGCTGTTAGTTTCAACGAGGGGCCAACGATTCCCAGTCCAAATGCCCACTCGAGTAACAATGACCAAGTACCAAAACAGATTCTCTTGCAAGAGAATACTTGCAAAATGCAGGAGGTTTCAAAAACTCGAATCCATGCACAAAATTTGATGGATGTTACAGGTAGTACCAGCAATATTGATTATTCAAAAAATTCCGAGTCCAGGGAAGTTAGCTCAAATAAGAACAACACTGGCAAGATGGTTAATGGACATAAAGCAAGAGCGGGGAGACCGAAAAAAGAAAAGGAGAACCAAGTTGAATGGGATCTATTGAGAAAACAGGCACAGGTAGATGGTAAAGAAACAGAAAGAACAGCCAATAGAATGGACTCAGTGGACTGGGACGCTGTTAGATGTGCAGACGTTAACGACATCGCGCAGACTATCAAAGAAAGGGGAATGAACAATATGCTAGCAGAGAGAATCAAGGTATCCATTAGATATTTGTAGCAAAAACAAAATTTAAAAGCTTTTATATTTAGTTTCCAAACTCAATACCAATTACTTGTTCAGGAATTCCTCAACCGCATTGTTAGAGACCACGGAAGCATTGATCTAGAATGGCTTAGGGACGTTCCACCGGACAAAGCAAAGTAAGCTCGAAGCTTTCGTGAAGAATGTCTATAACTACCAAAATACATGCAACATATTTACCTTTTTTTTTTCATTTTCCAGAGAGTATCTATTAAGTTTCAGAGGATTGGGTTTGAAGAGTGTGGAATGCGTGCGGCTTTTGACGCTTCACCACCTTGCCTTTCCAGTAAGTTTCTAGCTTGCAAATAATGCCTATCTTAAAATGGGTTAGAAACTTACTAACAAGGTTGTATCCACAACACTCAAATAGGTTGACACCAATGTTGGCCGTATAGCCGTACGATTAGGATGGGTACCTCTTCAGCCATTACCCGAGTCGCTTCAGCTACATCTACTGGAAATGTGAGTCTTTCAACTTCAATCATATTTCCCTGCGTTAATGTAGGTTCGCATGGAGAATGACTTGTGCTTCTTCCTTGTGTAGGTACCCTGTATTGGAGTCTATTCAGAAATATCTGTGGCCTAGGCTCTGCAAGCTTGATCAAAGAACACTGTAATTACTTTTTTATCTTTTCAGAAAGAAAAAAAATTATATTGAATACGCTACAAAACAAGAGTGTCCATCAATGGTTTATGATTCTTTTTTTTCTTTTTGCAGATATGAGCTGCATTATCAAATGATCACGTTTGGAAAGGTACAAAATTAATTGTTAAGTCTTGGATATATCCTATTACAGCCAGTATATTTTGTAAAATATAATACGAAAACAACTTGGTTTTGTCAGGTATTTTGCACAAAGAGCAAACCAAATTGCAATGCATGTCCTATGAGAGGAGAATGCAGACATTTTGCAAGTGCATTTGCAAGGTTTGTACATCATTCACTAGTTATTGCAATAATTACATTCTTAAAAGATTTTATATCAGTTGATCGAAGTTCTAAATTCTTAGATCCTTTTGCAAGTGATGAAACAGTTCTTTTTTCATCTGATATTAGTAAAAACATATTCTTAAATTGACTGAATCTGATAAATGTGCTTACAGTGCAAGACTCGCTCTCCCAGCACCAGAGGAGAAGAGTATCGTGGGTGCCGTAGTAAATAGAACAGCAGATCAAAATCCAACAAGTAGTAGAAATACCTTAGAGTTGTTGCCTTCACCTCCGTCTAATCAAACGGTTGCTGAATCTGGAGTTAGCAATTCCCAACCAATCATTGAAGAACCTGCTTCACCAGAGCCAGAGTATCCAGAAGTTCTAGAATCTGACATTGAGAATGCTTTCAACGAAGACCCTGATGAGATTCCTACAATCCGACTCAATATGGAACAGTTCACTCACAATCTGCAGAAGATTATGGAACAGAACACACAACTAGACGAGGGCGATATGTCAAAAGCCTTGGTAGCTTTAACTTCAGAGGCTGCTTCGATCCCTGTTCCGAAACTCAAGAATATGAGCCGACTCAGAACAGAACATCAAGTGTTAGTAAACAATCCTAATCTCATAATATTTTTTAAATTTTCCCGCAAACTATATGTAGGATTTTCATGGGACTCAACAAACTATGCGACAATAACTCTCAAGTGTTCTGAAGCATGACGAAATGTTTATAATATTTGCCATCTTATACTCATTTTTTTCTTTTTACAGCTATGAGCTTCCAGATTCACACCCTCTACTAGAAGAGGTTAGTGCTGTTCTATCTGAAAACTGTGCAACTTAATTATACAATGTATATTCCAAACTAAGTATAATTTCTTAATTTGCAGATGGACAAACGAGAACCTGATGATCCTTCTCCTTACCTACTTGCAATATGGACCCCAGGTATTGAAACACAACCACTAGAATTTAGCTCAACGTAGTTTCTTTTTTTTAAATAAAAAGCTATCAGATAATGAACTCAATTGAGTTACTTTAAATGTGACCGTTTCTACTGAATGTTTGAAACCAGGTGAAACCATGAATTCTATTGATCCACCAGAAAGACGGTGCATATCGGAAGGGTTTGACAAATTATGCACAGATGAGACATGTTCTGCATGCAACAGCATAAGAGAAGCAAACTCTCAAACTGTTAGGGGGACTCTTCTGGTAACTACTACTGTTGTTCTAACACTTCATAATTATGACTACACTTGTGTAGCTAACCCTAGTGGTATATGCAATTTCCTGACCAAGTTATTCAATCTAACACAACCATTTGCAACAGATACCATGCAGAACAGCCATGAGAGGAAGCTTTCCACTAAATGGCACATATTTTCAAGTAAATGAGGTATACGATATGACCAATTCTTCTGTTCAGAAAGACACGATAAAATAATTTATTGAAGGGGAATGTATACTTTGTTCATCTGCAGGTATTTTCTGATCACGAAAGTAGTCTATCTCCGATGAACATTCCAAGACAGTGGTTATGGAACTTGCCAAGGAGAACAGTGTACTTTGGGACGTCAATTCCAACCATCTTTAAAGGTAATAAGACAAAAAACAATTGAATAACTAAACATGGCAGTTCAGTTATCAGAAAGACTAAGAATCCGTCATTTGTTTATGTTTTTTTAGGGCTGTCCACGGAAGGAATTCAGTACTGCTTTTGGAGAGGTACATCTAGATATTACACTGTTCTTATCTAAGCTGCTTCCTCTAGCACCTTTTTTTGTCGATAAATGAAATATGGAAACCATGAAGCAAGTGTCGTCGGTTTACCATCTATATAGGATGTAGATTCGGTACCACTACTCTGCTGCCTTGGATAAAGAAATAAAAAAAATAACAAGAAACACAAAAGCAAAAGCAACATATATTGACCCCTAAAGCCTTCTTGCAAAGTATAAATAGCAATCAAATGAACATCACTTAAAACTTCAGAAGAATCATTAACGCATGGAGATAGCCAAAAAAAGGGGAACCGGCACCTCTTTTTATCCTTTAATTCTAATAGGTGCAAAAATTCCCCCTATTCAACACTTGCATATGCCATGTTAGGAGATTATTTTTCTGTGATGGTTGAAGATCAATCACTTCAATATAAAAGCTCAATAATGTCGGAATGCAAAGGAGTTTGTTTTCTCTTTCTTTTTTCTATTCATTCTAGTCTATTGTTTTTCCCTCCTTTGAAAAAACATGTTGACAAATAATACACAAATAAACTCATTGACAAATATACGAGTCAAACCTGTTAAACATCAGCCATACTATTTAGCTAATGTCTCATTGGAAGCAGATATTTGACGACAGGGAAACAGCCAAGCAGAAACCACCATTGCATTGGTGGACTGGGCGATCATAAATCTACATTAACCCAGTCAAGATTAGTTTCAAAACCTCACGAATACCCATTATCAAAATTTACAAGCAGATAGTAGTAGCAAAAACACTCTACGAAGATTCTGTTTTTACGTAATTCTAGTGTTAGTTTGTTGTAACAGTTTAAATAGTTACAAGTATTTGCAACATCTCGGTAACATCAAAAAGCTTGTTCGCGCAGTTAATATTGTCCGTTCGTATCATAATTAGTTTATCTTCTTTTACAGGGTTTGTCTGTGTCAGAGGTTTCGACAGGAAATCGAGAGCACCGCGTCCCTTGATCGCCAGGTTGCACTTCCCCGCCAGCAGCAGATTAGGGAAAGGGAAAGGAAAGGTAGATGAGAAGGATAACTAGACTTCAGTTAGAAACATCAAGGAAAACATGTTCTTTAGCTTGTATAATATTGAAATAGGGTTGCACTTGTTGTATTAATCGGAAATAATTTTAATTTCTTCGGCAAACATGAAATGTTGATTTTCGTGCAGGGATTTTTTTTAGGAATGAGACTTTTCTTCTATCTTTGTTGCCTAAGAACATCTAGTGGTGAAATGGTATTCCCAGTTTATGATCAAAGCAACTATTTAACATGCTATAAACTAGTAACCTAATTTCCCTTCCACCGAATCCAACCGAGACAACAGTAACAAAAAGCTCAAGCATTCACTTGAAAACCGTCGAGATCAAACAATGTTATTACAACCTTGTTTCCAATTTTCCATCAGTTTCGGTGCAAACAAAACCTAGAATCGAAAGTAAGCGCAATAACACACTTAAAAAATACATCAAATTACCAGAAGCTACAAAGCCAAGCACACACTTTCTTTCCATACACAATCGTCTGACCGGAATTACAGTCCGGTAATCATCGTAAGGTGTGGATCTCTATTTTCGCATATATACTACTTCCAACAAAACTTGGAATCATTAATTTAAAAAATAAAAAGGAAAATTATTACGAACTCAAATTTCATAAACAGAACCACAAACCCACTCGTCTATAGATATATATACTCCTGTTAGTGTTTTTCTGATTGACAGTATCAATCTAGAATCCTGGATTAATATCATTACAACCATTCAAAGAAACGTTCGCCGAATTGAATCACATCTACACTCTTAAGTGCGTGAAAGAAAAAAATAGATCTGTGGAAGCAAGCGTACCGTTAATCCGTTATAGAAAGTGCAGAATCTCAGCCTGAGTTCCCCGAAGATGAAATGGAATGAGATGATGAAGAACTGAGAGCTATTTGCGGCGGTGTGTGTGTTTGGTGTGGGTTGGGGTTTAGTGAGGGGGAAGATTTGGGGAAACATTTCGCGCCTTGAATTCCCTCCCTTTTGAAATGAGCGGGTATGGGCCAAAGGTTTGGGTCTAAATGGGCGGGCCCCTTCACTTAAGTTCCTTTACTTTTGGACTTATGAGGCTTTCAAATAAAGTTTTGAGCTCGGATTACCTCTCAGGTCTCGTTTGGCTATACGGATCATATTAGATTGAATTGTTTCGGGTGATTAATTAATGGGCAATTTGCAAATATTTTTTTACCATAATTATTTTTTTTTACTTTCAAAAAGTTTTTCAAACACTCTCAATTTCTCATAGACACAACTCAAAAAAATTTGATATTCAACAAATTTTGGGATGGGATCTAAACGATATGGACCCGGAGGTAATTTTTTTGTCTTTTTCTCGAAAGTGTTCGTTTAGTTTTACACGAACACTTTAAGTTTTTTTTTTTTCTGGTATTCTTGTGGTGGCTTTAGATAAGGATTTTGTTGATGTTTGTGTAAATCCATGCAGAGTTTGACAAGATTTTCATGTGAATTCACGCGAACAAGTGTTAATGTTATTTAATTTAATATTTTGTTAACTATATTTATGTGCAACGTGAAGATATATACATAAATGTTGATGAAGATGCGAAAACATTCGAATTACATGATTACAATTAATATTTCATTATTTCGACTGCGTTTGTTGGTAAAGATGTACTAGTTGAGTGGACGATGAACACGATCCTTAGTCAGGGTCGTGAGATTAGACGTTAGTTTTTCCATGAAGGCAAATAATATTTGCCGTGTAAAATGGCCTATAGAGGACGACGAAAGAAATTCGATGTCAAAACAAGCTGAAAGTCTGGTACAATAAAATGCATTGTGGGATAAAGAGGGTCGTGATGAATTATGGAGCATTACCATAAGAAATGACAATCATAATCATCGTTCTCATAAATATCCTCACGGACAACGTCCGGCTAGTCATTTAACGCAAAAGCAATGTGAAATGACAAAATTACTGAAAAGAAGTCATGTTAAGCCGAATGGAATTTGGCATCATTTGAAAAGGACTAATCTGGATATGTCAGCTATCTTGACGGATTTGTACAGTGAATCTGCAAAAATAAGACGAGAGAAAGTAAAAGGAAAGACAATTGTACAACATATATGTCACAAACTCAGTGAAAGTGGCATCGAACAAACTTAACTGGCAATACAGTACAATATATTATGTTTCCGCACCCCGATTTGATCAACCTTTTGCATTTATTTTTGTACGTTATACTTGCAAAACAAAAAAGGTGATAGCTTGATATATTATTTTTATGTCATCTTGATAAAATAATAATTACGTACATGTAGGTATTAAATGTCTCTTTTGGAAATAATTGGGGTTAATCTACTGGAAACGGATTTTACTATTGTTGTTGTTTTTATGTCACGTGAAAATGAAGACACATATACATGGACTTTGAGATGCGAGATGCATTACCTCCCGGAGTAGAACCGGAATTGACCCTAACAGTTCGTGAGTTGGGTCTACTGAAAACATTGCCTAACGTGTTTCCACAACTGTATCATATGTTATGTTTATATCATATAAACAAAAATGTTGAGGGAGATGTGTCGGAGTTTTTTGACAACAAAAAATACAGTGTGTCGTTTACGGAGGACGGTATTGGAAAAAAATAGTGAATTTGGAGATTGATAAATATTATGCGTATAATTACAACAACATGTTTAGTGTGTATAGAGAATATCCCAAGCTGATAAGATACGTCAATAAACGTGGTTGATTTACAAGGACGAATTTGTAAAATGTTGGACTAACAATGTATTTTATTTTGGTAACACGATGACTAACAACTATACAATATGAACTTTTCTCAAAAAAAAAAATTATACAATAGGAACTCTTTTTTTTTTTAGATTTTAGGATTAACTGATTGTTGGTTGAAACATGATGAAGAGTGCACTTCGTGCATCGAAGAGTTGTACCAACATTTTAAAGTTGCTAAAACGGACAATGACATTCTTAGATACACGATCATATCCATCAAAACTATCGGTGATATTGTTTTCATTTATCGAATACTGTTGGTCCCGTCGAACTCCACTTCGCCCATTAAGTTCCAAAGGAAACAATATTTGTTGATGTTTCGTCTGCAATGACCATCAACAAAAGTCGTGGTCAAGCACTTTAGTATGTCAGTTTATCTTCTCACGCATGTATTTTGCCAAGGCCAATTGTACATTGCGGTCTCAAGAGTCGAAAGTAGATCTGACATAAAGATTCTAATCAAGTCTGAATTTGGTGGATTGTCAAGTGTTGCTAGTAACGTCGTGTACAAAGAAGTGTTTTAGCGAATTTGAAGGTTATACCTTAAAGAATATTGTCATTTATATATTTTATGCGTCATGTTGTCTTATTTAGGTACTTGCTTTTTACGGTTTGAAAATTGCTATTTACAGTTCAAATCACTAATTGAACGCCCAAGACGGGCGCCAGGGCGTGTACGAACGCCCAAACCGGGCGTTCATACACGCCATTGGATAATTCATCTACAAAAGTTCACAATTGAATAATTTATTATAACACCGTATCGTGTTTGCATAATTTATTATAACACCGTATCGTTGAAAATCTAGGTAACTAGATAGATCATTCCAGAAAATACATCAGTCCAGCTATCATTACATGTTTTTTTTCTTGCTCACACTAAACTGCTGCCTTAAAAGCCAAATTAGGTACAACAATTTAGACCAAAGACCAATGTTAAATGATGTGCCCAATCGAGTTCGAACTTCGAACCGGCAAGATAATTCCAATAAACATAAAAACTTTACTAGATATTTTCTTTCAAAAATAGTCCTCCTCATCACATATAAATCAGACACAACAATATTTAAAAAAAAAATACAATTATGTCTATGTATGTATGTATATACAAGAATGGTGAACGGACCTTCCAAAAAAAATGAAGCCATTCAACAGAAAACACTGCCCCAATATGGATTGCAAGCTCTCTTGACCTAAACCCCCAATAAACAAATTAAAGAAAAAAAAGATGAGTCAAACTCAGTTCCGACAACATTGTAACTAATCGAAGAATCAGAGAAATCAAAGGTTAATTCTTATTACCTGAGACAGTATATGACGACGCGGTGAAGGCAGCAAGCCTCTCTGGAACCCTCCAACCAGATAAGGGATGATTGCTTCAATTTAATTGTGAAATCGACCGTTAAATCCATTCTACTTGTTGTATCCATTAAAATAAATTTAAAAAAAAATCAAAATCGATAAAAAAAATTCCCTGTTAGTAATTGGTGGGGTTTTGAGGAAATTGGAAGAATTTGAGCGAGAAAACAAACAGACATGATATACATGCGCATCACCAGCATATACTCATTGTATAACTCATACATGACTACATGTTACTATACGTTACTATATAGTAAAAATCATACATGACTACATGTTACTATATGTTACTATATAGTAACAATCATACATGACTACATGGTACTACATGTTAACTATATAGTAAAAATCATACATGACTACATGGTACTATATGTTACTATACAGTAAAAATCAATTAAACTTCATTAACACTTAATACTTGAATATGCATGTACCAACACTTATTATCAAATAACGAAGATAAATGAGAATCACAACAGCTACTACCACTATCCACAATTGTTATGTAACCTAATATTCCAATTCAAAAGTTATTCTGTCGAAATATGGTCAACAATTTAACCAGGAGATTCGAATGAATTCATTTTCAGCTTAAAGGATTAGGAAACGTACTTTTTGTTAGGATAGTAGACAGAAAGCCTTGCTTTTATCTACATGAACTATTTAATTTTGAATAAAGCTTATTCATTTCAGTCATTTATGAGAATCAATGCATGTGTGTTTCTAGTACTTTTAATTAGATATTGATTAATTATCAATTAATTAAACGTACAAGTCTATTATTCTAATAGTATTCGAAATGGTGTGCTACGACGTACAGAAAAATCATTTCGAAAGTTCGTTTAGAATATAAAGATTAAACGTTCACAATCTAGATGAAATTGGACTAACCATTGGTAAATGATTGTAGCACAATATTTTAGTGATTGGTCTTGATCACGGTAAACAGAGAATAACTTTTGTAGTTATCGTTTTGACTTATTGTGCTAGCACACCCGACATGTGTTGAACAGGACGAAGTGAAATATTTGTTTCATCACTGATTAAATATGAAACTATATTATTTCTAGGTTTACAAGAAATTACTTAACCTCTTAATCCCTAGGTAATTAACGTACACATTTAATTGGTGATCTCTACTTTGATGTCAAAATGGGAGAGATTCCCATATTGAGTCAAATGAGCCCCAATGCGTTGGGTAGAGACACTGAGAATTCATAGGTGGAAATTGATTATCGAAAGGAATTCGCATCTCTGAAATATGGGACTGAATAATGACCCTTGAGTAGCTTATGAGTTTTGTTTATGTCAGAAACTCGGCCGAGTGGATTTTGTATCCGACATGCACAAATAAATTAAGCGGGCAAGACTCAAGATAATATGCCAAGCTAATTTATTTTTCAGTGAATAAATTAATTGGTGGTCATTTGATCTTCTTAATGCGAGGAGAAATTAAGTAATGATAAACGGGAGCTCGAAATGTAATTTTGAGAATACAATCGGGAGTCAATAATTATTTGGTAGGGGAAAATAAATAATTATTTAATATTTAATTAAATGAATTCTTTTTAGAATTTGGATTTAATTAATTGTTAAATTGCCCGTATTGTATTTTCTCTTTTAGTATTGTACCCCAGTGGATATTTCTAATTAATTGAGAAAATAGAATTAAATCAAGTTAATAAGGTGAAAGATAAATTGGAAAATTATTTGGCTAATTTAGCATATAATTTTCGGCCATAGCAAGAAGGGGAAGAGAAGGAATTTTTCCTTGGACTTTTTTCCTACTTGAACTCCTTCTAGAATCTTTGGAAATAAGATGAAGGAAAATTGGAGTCTTTTAGGTCTCAAATTTTTGGCCCCTTTGCTAGAGTTGGAGGAAGATTTAATTCTTCAATCCTTCTCCTAGTGCAACTCTTTCTAGACCCTTATATATACTACTTGATGGAAGAGAAAAATCACTTGTTCCATAACCTAGTAGTGACCGATTTTTTTGCTAGAAAAATCAAGCAAAATATTTTCTCTTCTCTTTCATTATTTTCTTAGATTATAAATTTAGATATTTTTCTAGGTACGATCCCACAATCGTAGAAAAATAAATCCGGGATATACAATAGAAGATTAGAGGTTTATAGAGCAAAACATAAATCCCGAATTTTCTGAGCAGTCCTGCGAAGAAAATCGAAGGTTGAAGGCTTGACGGGATCCTCGTGCGCCGAAGATAGTTTGGATCAGCTCTTCGAAACGTAAGTCCATAGATTAGATTTAGATTTATTCTGCTTTAATTAAATCAAATCTATGCATGCTAATTCAGATTTAAAAATCGACTAACCTAGAACCTTATACGAATTTTTATTGGCTCCTGGGCTTCACATCCCAACACTTTTGAAGTGCGACGACGAGTTCGGAAGTATCTGCTTTGGCTTCCTGATGAGTCGGAGCGCCTCTGACGACCACCCTCTGCTTGGTGACGGATTCGCCTAATGTGACCTCCTCCTCTTCCCGGCGAAAATCCAGTCCTCTATTTCGGGAGACGCTGATTGCACGCCACTCAGAGACATGGATTTTACCGGCTTCCCGTCTTCCACCAACGCACCATGAGAAGAAATTTCCGATCGGTGGCAGAGAAGAACAGGTGGCGCTCCGACGACGTGAAGCCAGACAGACACCGCCGTCCCCACTGTGATTCCCGCAACCTTCGCCGCTGCTCTTATCGGGCTGCCTCCCATTATTTTTCAGATTTGGTTGTGGTTAATTGAGAAGAAAAAAAGAGTGTACGAGAGATAGTTAGAGAGAAGGAGAGAGAAGGAGAGATAAGAGACTAATGTAACGGCGGGGTGTGGGTGAGAGAGAATGTTAGAGTTAGGGCTTATATTAAATTAAAACTAAAATGGTAAAATAGGTACTTCAAGTTGTCCAGGGGGTCTCACTAATTAAGATCAAAATTTGGATTTTTGACTAGGAAAAAAAAACACATAGGACCTATCCTTATATATTTTCAAAACTAGGGGGTTATTACACATTTTAGTGTATAAGACGTTTCGAATGATGTATTGTTAGTTGTTTGTTTTAGACGATTCCTAGAATTTAATCCGAAAGCGAACTATAAAATTTTGACAATATGGGCCTCTTTGGTTGGGGGTATTACAAGGGATGGGATGGGTTATACCGTTTTGTACAACGTTTGGTTTGCTTGAGTTACTATCCTTGACTGTTGGGTCCACCCATTTAATACCCCATTCGAATTATTGCTAGTCAAGCCAAAATTGGCTTGACTGGTTATCACATATTGAATCCCATTTTGTAACCCATGTGTAATGTCGAAAATATCCTTCGAAAATACATCAATTACGAAATTAATAGGTATAAATACTATAATCTTCATCTTCCCCTTTCTTGCATCGTGCCCTAGTTTTTTTCCAGGTAAAAACTCATATGAACAAAATAAAAAAAAACAACCCCACCTTCTTCCTCCTTCCCAATCTCACACCTCGTCACCACCTTCCTTGTTCAAACCCAATTTCTCCACTACTCTCAATTTCAACCACCGCAGCCCCGCCCACCACCACCGCCCTCCTCCTCTCACATCTGCAATCAATCACTTCCCGTAACAGGAATTAAGAAAAAAAAAAAAAACCCCAATTTCAACAATCGGAATCGGAATACAGATATGGGGATTGATTACTACAACATCCTGAAAGTGAACCGCAACGCCAGCGACGAAGACTTGAAGAAAGCCTACCGCCGCCTCGCCATGATTTGGCATCCCGACAAAAACACCAACAAGCAGGAGGCCGAGGCCAAATTCAGGCAGATTTCCGAAGCCTATGATGTACTCATCGACCTTCAGAAGCGCCAGATCTACGATTTCTACGGCGAAGAGAGCCTCAAATCGGGCCGATTCCCCCTCCCCCGCAGCTCTCACGTCCAGAACCAGAGTTTCTACTACAACAACCATCAGCAGCATCTGAGTCAGAATGGCTATGCTGTGGAAGTATTAGAACTCTTTTGCACAATGAACAACGACAACGACTTAAGCATGGATAGATACAGCCTAGCTAGTGCAATTACTGCATGTGCTGAAATTGCATCGCTCGAACTCGACGAACAGATTTTTGCTCGAGCTACTGTCATTGGTGTAGATTCCGACCAGGTCATAGCAACTTCCCTTATAGACTTCTACTGTAAGTGCGGTCTCGTAAGAAACGGTCAGAAATTATTTGACCAAATGACGAAATTCGACGAGGTTGTATGGAATTCAATGTTGGTGGGCTACACTACAAATGGATTCGGAGTCGAAGCTTTGGCTCTGTTTCAAGAAATGAGAGGAGTGAATGTTACACCTAATGAAGTTACTTTTACTGCAGTTTTATCGACTTGCGATCATTGTGGATTAGTCGAAGAAGGGAAAAAATGGTTTTACATAATGAAAAACGAGTATTGCATCAATCCTGGTATTGAACACTACTCTTGCATGATCGATCTTTTTGCTAGAGCGGGTTGTCTGAAAGAAGCAATTGATCTTATCGATGAGATTCCTTTTCAGTCCGATGCAACTATGTGGTCAGCGGTTTTGGAGGTTGCATCGAAAACGGCGAAAAGTCATTTTCTTTGAAAGTTGCCAAGAGAATTATCGAGCTCGATCCTCGAAATTTCGGTGCTCTTGTACAGTTATCGGGTGTAATGGCGTCTACTGGAGATTGGAAGGAATCTGCATTAGCGAGACATTAGTGAGACAGTTAATGAGAGAGACGAGAATTCGAAAAAATCCCCGAAGAAGCTGGTGCAATATCTGAGAAAGAAAAACAGCGAATATTTTCTAATGGGTTAGTTATCGAAACTACACTATCTTTCTTCGACCTTCTGAATTCAAATTTTAATTTGCATGAAATGAAATGACGACTCTTTTCTTCAATTTGTAGTATTCCTGGAAGATGTCGAATTGTTGGACGAGGAATTCAATAATTCATGGATGGACATCGCCTCGTTAAAGCAGGTTCGTTTTCTTGTTACATTATCGTTGCAATTGGTTTCTTTTGTGTGTGTGTGTGTGTGTGTGTGTTTTCTTGATCTTGTTTGTGTTGTGGGATTGATTACCTATTTTGTACGTCAGGAATTGAATTTGATCAATAATTCTATTTGGTATTGTGAGCTACTTCTCTATAATGAACGGCGGTGGAGCTAGAGAATTTCCTAGCGGCGGCGGCGGTGGAGGATCCAGGAAGGCGACGCCGGTGGAGAACGCGCTCATGTGTAGCTTGGAGGAATTGTATGCTGGTTCTACTCGGAAGATGAAGATTTTCGGGAATGTAATTGATTCTCATGTGTATGCTTACAGTTTACTGATTTTAAATTTCCATTCAATTTTTTTTCTTTTAAATTCGATCATGCAATTTTTTTGGGATAATTATTTGCTCGAATTCATCAGCGGCTTTTAAATTGAAGATCTTTTAAATTGCCGCAATCACAGACATCGCATAAGATTAAGGTTTCTTCCGCAGAAGATTGTACCCAAATATAAATGAAGAAGAGGGGATATATTGGTAGAGAAAGAATCGATTAATTAATAAATGTATTAAAAGGGGCAAACCAGTAATTTACCTAAAAAATCCATAGAAAACAGTGTTATCACTCAAACAAAACATGATATTATTATTGCAGATATTATTAGTTTCTCCCCCATAACTCCAACCAAATAATGGATTATTCACTGTGAATCAACAATTTAGTCCCAGTGTACCATATCCCATCCATAGCTATCTATCCAAACCTCCCAACCAAAGAGGCCCTATGGGTATAAGGTGCATCATTAACCAATATTATTCACACATGTGTTCAAATATAGAATACTTTTACAAAAAAAAAGTGACGAGCTAAGAACTTATAAATTATTAGAAAAATTCCGTACCTTATTGCTAATAAATAATAAATGATGGACTTTTTAGCTAATTCCCATAATATAAAATCTAAGGAAAATACAAAAAAGATTACACTACTTAACAAAAACATCCCCTCTTTCCGACAATCCGGAGGGAGAGGATGAAAGGTAGAGAGAGAAACTCAGCCAACTTTTAAGAGAGAGAAATAAAAGCCTTATGAAACAGCCGATACCTCAAGCCATGGGCGGTGCTTCGGTTTCTGTGAATTCTGTGTGATTTTAGATCACTTGGCCGGAGAAATCAATGGAAATGCCTGGTAGACGATCCAATTACACTTTACTCAGCCAAAATCCCGAGGAGCAGTACTATCACCACGCGCCGCCTAAGCAGCCCAAACTCGCCGCCGGCGGAGGCGGACCATTGGCTCAGCAGCCTTCCTACTACGAGTCTCACTCCGGCGAGGGTAATAAACTCAAGTCTGAATGGGACGCGGTTGATCATCGAACCGCGCAGGCGCAATCGCAGCAGCAGAGCCGGATCGGAGGTTTTGGATTGCAGAAGCAGTCGAGCGGGAGCAGTTTCGCCGAGAGCTCTGTGTCGGGGGATTATTACGTGCCGTCACTTTCGAATCCCGAGATTGGTGGTGGTGGCCATTTCAGTGACGGCGGCGGCGGCGAATTCAGGGTGAATACGGCGGAGGTTTCTGCCGGAGGCTCGTCTTTTTCGAAGAGCTGGGCGCAGCAGACGGAGGAGAGCTACCAATTGCAGCTGGCGTTGGCTCTTCGTCTGTCATCGGAAGCTACCTGTGCCGACGATCCTAATTTCTTGGATCCTGTACCTGATGAATCCGTATCCGCCTCTTCTTCACCGTCCGCCTCCGCTGAGGCGATTTCTCATCGATTCTGGGTAACGATACCAAATTGCAATCTGTAACTAATTGTTTTCTATAATTGCTTCATTTTTGCTTGGGGATTGAATTTGGTTGTTTTCATGAAACTTTTCATGAAACTAATGCATACTTAGTGAGGGATTGCATTTGGTTGCTTGGCTGCCGATAACGGAATCATAGTAAATGATTAATTGCGTTGGTACTGAGTGGAGAAGATTTAGCCCAATAGGCACCACCCACAACCACAATTGACACGAATCTTATTAATTTTATATAGGGCTCAGAAAATCATTTGTTTCTTTGACAACTTAGACATGTAGCTCAGTTGCTGAGTTGAATAGGTGAAAGATGCTGAAATGAATCAACGCTCGATGCAATATGCTTTTGTTTAAGAGAATGATTTGAGGCGTGCGTATATATATGTTTGCTTTTCTATTGGTTAGTATGATCGGCCAATATCCCGGAATATAGAATATGCATTTATGATGATTTATTGCCACCTGTGTAGTACTTGTACGGTTCTCTTTCGGCAAAAATAAATTAAATAAAATATTATATAGAAAATATCGTGTCGGTGGGAGAGAGTAGTGGTAGATAATTTTTGTGTGAAGGTATAGATATTGTCACAAGTAACACATGTTATTTCGTTGAGAATTTAGTGTGTGAAGATCGATTGTGCATTAGTGCACATGGATACACTATAATATTAATAGATATTGGTTTTCGATTAGTATTTTTTGGCTTTCAATTCAAATTCTACTAATTGTTTAATGATCATACAAAATAAGGGGATTTGACCAGAAACAATTAAATCTTGGCGAATTAAATTCGCTTAAGCCTATAAACTATTTCCCAGAAGAGTTATCTGTTCCCTATATTTTGACTATCCTTCAGTTTTTTCTTCATTTTTTGGAAGCTCTAAAAGTACAATACATGATACATGAGAGTTAATTGGTCAAGTAGTTTAGAGAAGTCGCTTTTGATGTACCTCACGAGCTCACCTTGGTGATATTTTGAAATATGATCTAGTTGCAAGAATCAAATGGAATTGTATATTGGGTAAAGTTATGTAGGGCTTAGAATTGAAAGTCAGATGGAACGGATCAGAACCAACCTCTTTTGAAAATATTCTGTTTTTGTCTGAAGTCAAAATCATTTCCGAGTTTGATCAGAATCTAGAAATCCATTCCGGCTTGAAAATCTTCCAAATTTTGAATCATGGAACTTTCAAAAGTTTCGGAAATTTTTATAATTACCGGAAATGAAGAACACCTACTTTGATATACACTAGTAATACGAACTCCACCAATGCCCCCTTTTAAATCTAAATTTATCAAGGGCCGTACATGCATAATCTTCATCCATCCATCGTGAATAAAGATACATGAGAAGGAAAACCTGAAACAGTGGCAGTAGAACAAGAGAAAAAGAAAGAAAATATACGAGCTACAAAATTGTGTATTAAAAGAATATCACAATTTACGAAGGTTGAAGTTGGCAAAGACTTATTGGATATTTAAATTAATTTTCATCAAGTTAAATACATAATGTGTAATATAAATATATTACTCATAAATGTATGTTTGAAAAAAAATGAATATTGAAATTATAATTGGATCGATAACCGGAAATTCTATATTTAGATAAAAAATAGTCGTAAGAATAGGATATAATAATTTCAAAATCAGAACAAGAAATGTTGTGAAGCCTGAAAATTTCGAACCAAAATTATCAAATATGCGGAAGTCATAACTAATGTTCCGACTTTTACCCATAATTGGACTCAAAGGTTTTGCCTTTTTAGCTATGATAAACTATTATTCGGATATTCGCCATGAGTGCAGAATAGAGTAATAACTAATTAGTCATGATTACTACTTAGGATAGTTGATTGCCTTATAATATACACAAGGGCATGTAAAGCTTGGCAATGGGAGTGCCATTTGGGTTTGAAACCGATTAATGAGGTAGCAAGTAAAGTTTGGAATATCTCATTGCCACAATATGATTTGGCGTTATCATAATGTCTTCAGTAAAAGTCTGAATTAGCATATGGTTTTTCAGTTTGTACTTGAAATGTTTCTATTTTTCTCAGACTTGACTAATTTTTTTACATCAGGTAAATGGCTGTTTATCATACTCCGACAAAGTTCCAGATGGGTTTTGCATGATTAATGGGATGGATCCATATGTTTGGTCTATGTGCTCTGATCATAAGGAAAGTGGCCGCATTCCATCCCTCGAATCGTTAAGGACTGTTGATCCCACCATTGCCTCTACAGTTGAAGTGATTTCGGTAGATCGACTAGGTGACCCCAGCTTGAAAGAGCTGCAGAACCGAATTCATAACTTGTCATCTATTTGCATCACTACGAAAGAAATTGTTGACCAGCTTGCGAAGCTAGTTTGCAATCATATGGGGTGAGCACTGCATGCTCCTAGTTAATTATTAAAGAAGCAAAGTCGTTTTTGTTGTAACTGTGTTTCCTTGCCTTCCCCAGTGGCGCAGCTTCCAATGGGGAAACTGACTTAGTTAGCATTTGGAAGGAGTGCAGTGATGACTTAAAAGACTGCCTGGGTTCCATTGTGCTTCCTATTGGCAGTCTGTCCATCGGACTATGCAGACATCGTAGTCTGCTATTCAAAGTATGTGCTCTACCTGCTCTCCCTTTTCCATTGTTTTCTGCATACTTCTTCAGGTGTAGTTCCAATTAAAAATAAATGAAAAATTAGAAGTCGAAGTTACAGAAGACAAATTCGTGAAGAAAACAAAAAGAAAGTAGCAGCTGCCACTATCTATTGTGAGAAGAGCGTTGACTGAAAACTCGAACTCGAATAATTCTACTCACAAGCTTTGTTTTTAAGTAGAACACCTATCAGGGTGGGGGGTTAGGCAATCACAGCAACCTGTATATTACTATTGAATCAAATCATAGAAAAAGAGTATGCTTCTGGAGAACTTTACTGTTAGTTTCTTGTCTTCCTATTGCTGTATAGTCATCTCTTTTGCTTTCAGAGCATACTTCTGTAGAAGTTTACTTTTTAATTTGCAGTTCTCTTTTATTGTGTTGGCAGGTTTTAGCTGATATTATTGGCTTACCTTGTCGAATTGCAAGAGGATGTAGATATTGCACGCGAGAAGATGCTTCATCATGCCTTGTTCGATTTGGGCTTGACAGGTGTATATATATATAATTCTTGGAATTACATCATTATCTCGTTCAATTATTCAATGTTTACAAAGTTTAAAAAGCTAATTCCCTGGTTTAAAAATTGAAATTTAAGATTCTCATGGTATAGTATCTTTCGTTGCTCTTGAATTTGATAGAAAGTGTGGTAATCTACAGTTGACTTCATAAAAATACCGTTCCACTTCTATCAAATACTATGCTAATTTGTATCGTGTCTTATCTATTCTGTGTGCTAGAGGGAGGAGAATAATGTTATGCACTGCCTAATCTTTATAGACGTCAATGTTTTGAGAGGTCGATCGGCGCTGCTTAGACATTTGAAGTCCTATGGGTTTATAATGTTCTTAACTGTTAGAAATCAATAAATACATGATACATACTTGTTAATATTGGATATAAGTTGTGTACTACTAAACTAATTTATCCATTTTGTAATTGATGTCACAGGGAGTATCTTATTGATTTGATTGAGAAACCAGGATTCTTACACGAGCCTGATTCGTTGCTGAATGGTCCTTCTACAATCTCGATTTCTTCACCATTACGCTTTCCGCGATTTAGGAAGGTGGAACCTACAGTTGATTTCAGGTTGTTGGCCAAACAGTTTTTCTCGGACTTTCAATCACTTAATATTGAGTTCGATGATTCTTTAGCAGGTACTATCTGTAAAATTGATTTCTCTTTGAGTTCTTCATGCTAGTTGCTACTTGTTTTTTAAGAGTCTCTCACTTCCTGGGCCATGAACTACGGCAAATGGGATAGTTGGATCAGATCCAGATCAGATAAACAATGAATCCACTTCGTTGATTAAATTATGATCGGATCCACATCCGATCCCATACTATTGTGGCAATCTATTTGTTAGGTTATGTCATTTCGAAGTTTCTACATGTTGAACCAAATATTTCCTTTCAAATTTGTTTTTCTATTTTAAATGCTGTATATTTTTTTCGTGACATACAGAATGGATCCAAATTTATATAAAAATGAAAACCATTTTGGACCTACAGCTAACTCTACAAACCCGTTAAGGTCTAACCTCAAAAAAAGTGACACAAATGGATCTTAGATTGGAGTCCTGAAAATATTATCATACCTAAGCTGTTGATCTTAAGATTTCTCTGTTTTTCAAAATTATTTGCTTTCAGCACAGCGTTGTTTGTTACTATATTTATTAACTTATTATACACTAATTCTCCACATTGTTGACGTATCAGTCTTTGGTGTCAACCTTGTTTAGGGTACTACTAGTTTTTTTAGAAATAAAAACCAACTGATTCATGACTATTTCAGAAATATTTAATTGGTTATGAAATTCAGTTTTTACGATATGGTTCACATTTTGTGAATTTTGCATAGTTGCTATTACCTTTTCACAACCTTGTTTCTTTTGCATCAATTTGGGAGTGACAAAAATATCTTAATAAATTGATGCGACTTACTAACTAAATTGGTCATGCAGTAATTTTATGAAGTGTTATAACTTATAATGATTTTAAGGGTGGGACTTTTTGCACTACGTCACGAACAACTGGCATTGTAATTTAACTCAAAACTTTCTGAATGCTAAATTTTGTTCTTGTCGCGTATAAGAGTTTCAGGATTCAGAATCCATTCCTTTACGCCTCTTCATCTGTTTGACTGCAAAACTGTATGTTAGTTGTTCTATGAGAGTGTGTACTAGTAATTGTCTATTTCATTCAAAGATGAAACATCTTATCATCAAAGCCTTGTTTTTTCGTCTCTTCAAATTTCTTGATAGGTATGTGCAACCTATATGATTCAGCAAAATATATAAAAGTGTTAACTTCAGTGTCATGATTTGACAATTCACAGTGATGTAAATTGCATGACACTCAACAAATTAGGTAACGCTGGGCTAATTTTTCTCTCTAGGCTGATTATATTAATAATTACTCTTAAGTTTTGTTGGATGATGATTTCATTTTGGTTGTTTCCCGAGTATAATAGGTTGCACTACAACTTGCTCGTCTTTCTGCCAAAATAATATTAGCGTATTAGGCACACCTTGTTGGCATAACATTTACTTTTCCGTTTCCTCGATGTTCCTTTTGCCATATTAGTTTTTTTCGTTTTTCCATTCCTCAAAGTATAGTACATTTTTGTTTGATCCTTGAATGTGTGAGTTACTTAAAATGTTACTTTTGACAGCTGGAACTGCTATAGATGGAGATACTGGTGTTTCCATGTACCCTAAACAATCAGAGGCAACTTACATGGATAGAACCAGCTATCCACCAAGCTCAAGCAATAAAGAGGAAATTTCTAGCATGCCATTTCACACAAATTCGTGGATAAAGGTTAGAGGTAAAGAGCAATTGCTCTCAAAGCCAACTAATGCGCAGGATGTTGTAAGCTCCACAAACTTAGTCAAAGGTTCGATCCCTTTGAAGCTTATTCCTCCAACTGGGAATCACGCTATTCATCCACTTATCTCTCTGCTGAATCCAAGAGTAGTTACAAATAACGATATGATGTTTGGTGAAGGAGGTCAATTAGTTTCATCTAGAAGAAGTGAATTTACATTTGATGTTGACGATCTCAATATCCCGTGGAGTGATCTTGTCTTGAAAGAGAAAATTGGGGCAGGTATGTTCTTTTCCTTTTTCTCAAATATTGCTTCGGATCAACTGTAATATTTTGAAGAAACTAGATCTTTCCTAGTCATCTGAATTGTGTGCATCATAATTTGCTTCTTATGCTCTAACAGGTTCTTTTGGAACAGTCCATCGTGCTGAGTGGAATGGTTCTGTAAGACCCTATCTTTTTTATCCTTTAAATATGCTTTCTCTTTGGACATCCGTGAACTTGAACTCTCTGATTCTATTATGTTATTATAATATTTTTTTTATATCAATTCTAAATCCATTTTCTATGTCTGCTATTGAGCTTGTAATACGAATATCTCCAAAGTTCCTTTTTTCATATTGGGATACCTTTCAGGATGTTGCTGTGAAGATTCTCATGGAACAAGACTTCCATCCAGAGAGATTCAATGAATTTTTACGAGAGGTAGCATCTAAATCTCTATAATCAATCTCTATTGTCTTACTATACTTTGTGCTTTAGTGACAATTTGTTGCTTGGGATAGGTCACAATTATGAAAAAATTGCGCCATCCAAATATTGTGCTATTTATGGGTGCTGTAACTGAACGACCGAACTTATCGATAGTAACAGAATATTTATCAAGGTATTTCTTTTAATTTTTAAATCTGAATTTTATTTATCACAGTTCTGCTCTGTTCTAACCGTCTATTTCACATTGTTACTCCAGAGGTAGTCTGTTCAGACTTTTGCATAACCTTGGTGCAAGAGAGGCGCTGGATGAGAAACGTCGGCTGAGCATGGCTTATGATGTGGTAAGTATTCTTTTAATCTTTTTGTTGAAACGGAAAACTATCTTTTGGTCCTTACTCCCCTCTTCCTCTGACATCTAATTTCGAAATCACTCTTTTTTTTACAGGCAAAGGGTATGAACTATCTTCATAAACGCAATCCTCCTGTTGTTCATCGGGACTTGAAATCTCCTAATCTTTTAGTTGATAGAAAGTATACTGTGAAGGTGAGAGAAATGTTATACTCAACTTGCGTGTGCACATTGTATACTGCCTGATAAGGTGGATCATTTTGTGAAAGCTGTTCTTTTGCTACAGACAAAATTATGCGAAGGTTTCAAGTTTGCATGGCATTATGTAAATAAACTAAGTTTTCTTGCTAGGCAGATATATCTTCAAGTAGTAGAGCTTAGCATCGAGCTATACATGTATATAGTCTAAAAGATCAGTCTAACTGAAGTTGTATTGGGACATCATTTTCCATTGAAAAAATAGTCGTGTTTCATCTTTTGCTGCTATGCTATGTCAAAAGTTTCTCCTCCATCTAAAAATTTGTATGTTCCTTCTGTAAAAGAATCTCAAACTTAATGGAGGTCTATTCCTTATCAGTCCTCGATCCTATTTTGTTATCCATTTTCATAAATTGGGCCTCGGGGATCTTAATTGCTTATTAATTCAATGACAGTTAGATATGTAGATACATCCTGGTTTTATATGGCCTTGTTCATATTATACTTGCTATATGAACTGACATTCTTTTACGTAATGTTTTCTTCTTCTTTTGTTTAGACCCTTAACAATGTAATGTCTTCATCAGGTCTGTGATTTTGGCCTTTCCCGTTTTAAAGCAAACACATTTCTTTCATCCAAATCTGCTGCTGGAACTGTAAGTTTTGCTTATGTGCAATGATCTGTTGCCTTTATTCTTTATTCTTTGGGATCCTAGGTAGATATGAAATAACTTCTTTACTTTTTTTATTTTTAGCCTGAGTGGATGGCACCTGAAGTGCTTCGTGATGAACCATCAAATGAAAAATCAGACGTATACAGTTTTGGTGTAATTTTATGGGAGCTGGCGACATTGCAGCAACCCTGGGGTAACTTGAACCCTCCACAGGTTGGTGAATTGGCTTTCATTTTTTGTGGTAAGATTGTGTGTTTGTTTTCCGTTGCAAACAACTGGTGGGGTATTAGTGGGTGTACTTTTTAATCCTTAGCCATTCTTCAATAGGTTAGAAATGTTCAGCCTGCAAAATACTCTGTCGTCTTGTCTGGATTTGAGAATCTTTTATTTTTATATATAAATTCTTTATTCGAATAACGACATCTGATAACCTTTTTGTGTACACTCCTAATTCTCGAACTTCTTGTTTATTTTTTTGTTTTTTTATTTATTTATAAATATTAGGTTGTGGCAGCTGTTGGTTTTAAGGGAAAAAGGCTTGAAATTCCACGAGATGTGAATCCTCAAGTAGCAGACCTTATTGAAGCTTGCTGGACCGAGTGAGTTTTTATCCGTTTACAATGTAAATTCGCTTTTAGCACAGAAATTTGTCCACTATACGTTTGACATGCATCTTAGCCGTATATTTCTTATTAATTGTTTTCTAGCTTGTGACCTCCATTCGGTTTCTGCGGCTACCCTCTTCACACACATTCACATTTTTTTTTACTTATGTTGCATGTTCTGCTGGCTTCAAGTTTATCATTAAACTTCACGTGAATTTTGTGACATAATTATTTTTACTTAAATTGGGACTGAATGGAGTTTGTGGACGAACCAACCAACGTTTAGTATGCCCATAATTATATCAATCCTAGAGTTGGACATAATATTCTTTGCTCGCTTTGGTTATTGAATCTGCAGCGAACCTTGGAAGCGGCCTTCCTTTTCCAGTATCATGGAATCTTTGAGAGTACTATTGATCAAGTCTCCTCCGCCAACTCAGCAAGGTCGTTGAAAGGCCTTTGCTCACTTGAAACTGCAGGTATGGGAAAGCTCATATAATAATTTCAAGTTCTGTTCTCCTATAATGTAAGAAGGTTTGTATGTTTATACATCTCTAACTCGACTTCAATTGATTGTGACCACTGAAACTTTAACCAATATTCTTATTGCAATATTGCTGGAAAAATAACTTGTACGTAGTAATGCATGCACGTGGGAGTGTCTATATTACTTATTTTAAAATGTTATTTTTCGACTATTGAACTTCAGTCTTTTGGAAATTCTACAAGTTATAATGTGATTGTAGGCTGTCTAGTTTCAGGGTTTCTTGAACATGGGTTTCGAATGATAACTGAAGTGCCCAAATTGTTGTGCAAAGATTTCTCCCTTTTCATTAATTGCCACAAAAATGACGACGGTTGTCTGCTATTTGGCGGTCTAAATACAAGACCAACGTGTCTTCCATGGGTGGAAGTCTGCAGATAGACAGTGGCATTTTGCAGAAAAAGAATAATAATATAGTCATATATAAGATGTTCGATGTTACGTGATCATACTTGCATATTTAAATTGATCTAGAATCTAACATTGCATCTGATGATGCTCTGCAGGTTCTCCCAGTGTACATTGTAATCCGCCACGAGAGAATACATTTCATTCTTGAAGTTGCTTACAAAACTGTATAGCTGCAAAAACTGTATGTGCGAGGTATGATAATAATGTAAGGAGTTCTTAAACAACACTCTTGATGACGATAAAGTTTCTTTGAACAGGAAAATTGGGAAAATTTAGTCCTGTAAATTGAAAACAAATAAACTGCAATCCTTTAATTTTGATGATAATTACAGTTTTAGGAAAATTTGCAATTTATTTCCTTTTGTCGCTGGAAATTTCAATTTGAGCAGGTAATTGCTGAAATTTAGGAATTTACGTGTTTAGAGAAAAACCCTTCACAAGTGATCAACATGCAAATGTTTGGCTCATCGAGCATGATTAGCTTAGTATGATTTAATATCTCATGCAATTTGCAAGCAATTGCACGAGGACGAAGTTTACCCAGTGAACTTAGGGTGGTCGTGAATTCTCTTGTCGATAAAAAGAATATACAAATGCTTTATTATATATAGCACAGTAACCTCTTTACAAGTGACGAAACTTGCTATCCATAACCTTATAAAACTGATTTTCAGTATTAGTTTTAAAACAAATTTGGAGTTAAGCATCATTGTCTAATATCATCCAATCGTCCCCCCAAGACCCAACTATGTGTGCCGCAATATCTATCGGGTTGACGGATAACAGCTACGCAACCGTATGGATGATATATCATGGACTTGATGGGTCAAGGTTTTGCATTTTGAATGCTTATGATTACTCTCAGCGTAAGGGAATGATGGTGTAGATTTCACACCCCAGACCGTCGGAAAGCGCACTAGGCGATGGTGAGATGACAAACGGAAAACAATAAAATGTGAGAGAGAGTTTAGAAGATGGTTTAAAAGTATTCTTACTGATATTCAAATCGTGTCTTTAATCGGTCTTAGTACAAGAATTTATGTAGGAAGACCTCTCTAATTGCTTCCTAGTTTAACTCGCCTTAATTAGGTTGAGATTTACATTGATTGCTCCATTAGTTATACAAATTTACATACTTTTCTTATCTATTTAGGAAAAGTATTTCCGAGTCTTCTGCTTCTAATGGCTCTCGTTCAGCTCGCCACCTACCACGTTGATTTGTCTGTGGCATGTTTGGATGGGTTGGCGAGCTCGTTAACCGCAAGCTTCTAAATAGACTTTGTCTTTGATGTGTATTGGATCGGTGGATCAAGTAAATCTCTTTCGGTCCATACATTTTATCTTTATACTATTTTAACAAGGGGGAGTTTGACCCAAGCTTGCCAAATTGATCCCGTCATCTGCTCTCCCCTAGTCGATCTGAACGAAGTGGTTCACTGGAGACTAAGATTGTGTAATTAATTTGATTACTATTTGAAAAATCTTCTAACAAGTCAAAAAAGAATAATACGAACAATTTTGAAATAAGTATTTCCACTTATAAAGAATTTGTATATTTAATTGCGAATAAATGTGTTCGACTTAATTTAAGAAAATAATGTGAAAATTTTAAACGAATAAATTAATTTTGCATAAAATCCCCTTGTATTGTATAAAGTATGCATCAAATCCCCCTATGTTATAAAAAACTTGCATAAAATCCCCTCTATAGTTAACGGTGTTAAGTTTTAACGGAAAAGGGGATTCCGTGCAAAGAAAAATGAAACACAAGGGGGTTTTACGCAAGAAAAAAAACACAGGGGGTTTGGCGCAGGTTTTCCTTAACATTGGGGGGTTTTATGCTGTTTACCGTTTTTTCCTGCAATAATCAATATTTATTCATTTTTATTATATTTATTAAAAATGAAATGAAGAAAATGGGTGTAAAAGGAAAAGACTAATTTACCCCACCTATATTCACGTGTAAGGCACGTGATTTGAATTTCGGTCAATTTTGGCTAAAAATGGAGATTTTGGATGCCGGTGCTAAGAAAAATGGAGTTCAGATATACCTGTGCAACTTTTTATTGTTCAGGAGTATAGCGCAAAAACTTTTAAGGTTTAGGGAATTTTTTACAGTTAACCCTATATATAATACATATGCATGTCAAGATTTTTGAACATGTTAAGATCAAAATACAGTTAACTTGGTTGAGGAATTGATTGATCCCATTCTATGGGAAGATGCAAAACTACCAATTTTATCTCCTTTTCTATTCGACTGTGTATCTTTATAGCATATTTACTTCAACACCTTTTTTTTTAAGGGTAAATGAGTGATACCCTATAGTTTTGAAAATATATATGAGGAGGGTCAATGAGTTTTCCGCTCTAGTTAAATTTAAAATTTAATCTTAATTTGTAAGACCCGCCTTGACAATTTAAAGTACATGTTTTGGCCTTTTAATTTCACTTCAATAAATACCCTAATCCTCTAACCTTCTCTCTCTTCCACTCACACGTCTCTGACCCACCATCGCCGTTTTCATCTCTCCCTCTCTCTCTCTCTATTTCTATCTCTCACCCTCTCTCTAGTTATCTCTCGCCACCGTTCTGAATTCACGAGAAAAATATTTGCCCCAAATCTTTCGGTATGTTCGGATTCAGGTTCTCGTTGAACTCGTTTAGACTTCGGAATTAGTACAAAATCAATTCCCAAATTTTGATTCTCTCCAACAGCTTACTGTGTAATTTTCAATTCGAAACCCTAGGTTTCAGAGAGAAATCACAAATGTCATCGTCATTCGGAAAGACTTCCGTCTCTGCGGGAGATTTGCAGATGGTTCCGGTGACATGTGGTAAAATATAGTAATATATAGTTATATATCAGTTATCTGGTTTTTCTATTCTTTTTTTTTTTATTTTTTTTTTATTTTTTTATGTATAATGAAGTTAATGATTGTGTTTTCCAATTTTTTGTTGATGTACTAATTGGTTTATAATATCAAGATTTAATTTGTGAATTTTGTTCTTGGTGTAGATGAAGTTTTTTTATTTATATAATCAGCGGTACATAATCGGTCGACTATAACTTTGGGGTAAAAAGACAGTACATGACTGCATATAACTCTAAATGACTATAGTCATGTGTAACGATTTCAGTACAGTAAAATTTGAATTATATATATATATATATATATATATATATATATATATATATATATATATAAACAAAAAATAAATGAAAAGAATTTTATTAAAATTAAAGATAAGCAAAAATAATAAATGCAGGTCCAAAAATGTTAAATGCAGTTGGGCGAAAATTACATATAAGGACACAATAATACCTTTGTCTCTCCAGGGGCATCTCAAAGAAAGAATTTAGGGATGAACCTAGCCCTATATATTTTCCATATTAGGGATGTATATCAAATGACCCTTTTTGTGTAAATCTATGTTTCGATGTTTATTTTCATTTTATGTTGAACATTTGCAAATAACTAAATAACTAAGAATCGAAATAACATTTTATGATAATCTATTAGAATTTTATCTTGGCCGGGCATTATGAACAGCGTGTGACGCGGGGTGGCTCAAAGGGCCACAACAACGAAATCATATGCATAAAGCGTAGACCCACTCTCGCTTGCCGTATTAAGCTGCGCGAAAGCCTGCATATTGACATGGACTAGAAAAAGACCCACTTGACTTCCAAAAATGAAGCAATCACATCCGCGAACCCTCCCCGTTTGAAATGATCCGGCTCGCAAAGGACATGACAACCCGCCTTCAATAGATAGACAACTCGGGGGAATCACATCACACCCACGTGTGAGTATGATCGGAGCCACATTTGAACCCGACCACCTCACTCCTGAGATATGTATAAATACAGTCTCGAAGACTAGGGAAAACAACTTATATCAGAAATAAACACCTTACTCTATTCTACACTACAATAACGTATACACATCTTATTTCTCCACGATTTCAACTGACTTGACCGCCAGAGTGCTAACACCGAAAAATACTTCGCCGGCACTCAATTTTTATATATATATATATATATATATATATATATATATATATATATATATATATATATATATATATATATATATATATATATATATATATATATATATATATATATATATATATATATATATATATATATATATATCGTTTCTCGAAAGATCATTAAAAATAACAAATCGTTAAGAGAACAAAATAAAAATATTTGTCGGGGACCATTGGTGAGTTCTTGCGTTCCACTATTTTAGGATCGGAGGAGTATATAATAAACTAGCATTTTCTTTCGTAATTTGTTGTTCCTACTTCCGACGAGAACTGAACATTACTCGAATCTATTTCTAATAAGGTCGTTTGACATTTGAATTCGATTTTGACCACATTTTCATATCCGTATTAGTGTGAAAATGCTTGTGATATATATTACCGGTACCCGTTGCCACAAAAATATTTAGATAACTTGTAACGATACACACATGATATTTTTTTACAACCCGTTAGCCCTCCTCCTTCGACGAATATACCCGTTCATAAATAATTAATTTTAATTTATTTTTTCGACAAATAATTGATAATTTTGACTCTACGCAAAATAAACATAATTAACTACCTTCTAGGAACCCAGCACACGTCCTCAATTTAAAATATTGAGATCAGTTGTGCATATTAGAATTAGCAGCCGCCGTTCGTCATTTATATTACCAAAACTTAATTAAATTTTTAATAATTATGTCATGTTGGGTGCAAAATGACCTAATTCCGTGCAAAAATAAATAAATAAATAAATAAAATTGGGTTAATTCCACTTTGCACCATTGAAATGTGGTATAATGGCGGTTTACACCATTGAAAAAGATTAATAGTACTTTGCATCTTCGAAACAGAATAAATCATCCACAATGCACCATCTATTGAAAATTTAAAACTTAATGAGGGTATAATTCATTTTATATTGGTTTTTTTTAATCTCAATGGTGCAAAATAACAAATTAAACTATTATTTTCTTCCACTCGAACATAATTTCAAGCGTATAAAATGCGAAAAACAAAACGAATTATTGAAAAAAACTATATTTTCTTAAAATGACAATAAAAAAAAAATCTCACTAAATTATTTGGTTGATAATTTTTTTATTGTAATTAGTGAAAATATTTGGTAGAAATCTTTGGAAGAAAATATAATTTTCAAATAATTTAATGTTACCAAAATAGCTGAAGGATTTTTTTTGTTCTCATTCTTTTTTTGTAAAAAAAAGTAATTTAATATTTTAGTTTTGCACTTTGTAATTTCGAAATGATTGATTTGACAATTGACACCCTAAAAAACACCATTAAAAACATTGAATTATCTTCATTATTCAGTAAAAAAATATTCGAGGTGCATTATACATAATTTATTGTGTTTCGGAGGTGCAAATTGCCATAAAAAAATTAAAGGATGCAAAATACCAAAAAACTATATTTCAAGGGTGCAAAGAGAGATTAAGCCAAAAAAAGAATACCAATATCTAATAATAAATCTAACAGAGTTGAGGGAATTGTCAAAAGAAGTTGGTAAGTTTTCTAAAGTCAGAAAAATACTGTGAAGTAAAATAATATTCGCGACGACGTGGTCAAATCCGCAGCCTCAATATATATATGGAGACAAGAGGCTTGCATTTCATATAATTCAATTCATTTATTTCATCTCTTTTCAAATAACCAAGCCACCAAAAATTCTTTAATTTAATTTGCGACAACAAATTAATTATGTTGAGGCAGACAAATTCTTTTAGTCGCAGATTTAATAATCAACAAGAGTTCATGAACAACATGGATCAGTACTCAGAGTTTCCACAACACCCTATAAACTGTTACCAAATGAACAACCCAGAGTTCTGTGCCTACGATCAAAATGGATCCGGGTTTTCGGGTTCGGGCTCGGATCCGGGCTTTCGGGCCGGAGGTGACGGAAAAGCAAGATTCCAGGAAACTACAGAAGAATCGGAAGCTGTTGACGAATTGGTTCAGATAATGGTGGAGTGCTTGAAGAAAGCGGATGTGAAAACACGAGAAGTTCTGCTGAGGAAATGTTTCTTCGAGATCGAGAAGGAGATTCCCCTCGAAAGATTCCTTGTTGACAGAATGAAGCACACTAGCGCGAAGCTATTGTCGGATTCGTTGCAGAAAATGCATTGGGGTGACGGTTTTAGCGACGAAAAAAATACGGAGACTGATGGTGCATTTGCCACGAGGGAAGTTGAATTATCCGCAGGGGAAAAACTGGAGAGATTTAAAGTTAAAACTGTGGTGATTGGAGAGATTGTAAAAGAGGAAGCTAGATGAGTAATTATATATATGGTTTTGCTCAAAGGAGAGGGAGATTATATATAATATATTGCATTATATTCTTTTTTTTTTTTGACAAATTATTCAATATTCTTTAATTCATTAACATTTATAAATAGGTGTTCATTTTTTTTTCGGCATTAATACGAGTGGGTTAAACTACACTAGTATAATCATGTGCGACAAACCAACCGAAATGATTTTTTCTTTTTTTTTGTTTTCCTTTTACTTTTTCCTGGACCTTTAAATACCATTGCGTGGTCCACACAACTTGGATTTCAGTTACCACTATTTTTCCCTTCTAACCGATTTTGTCTCACTGACTTTTTCGGCTTAAATGTTATAAACAATGCATATATTTTGCCCATCCAATTACAACCAATACAAAAATATTACGACAACCGATACAAATATAATACGTTTTACGGAAAGTATTATCAAATTGATCTATGCAAACGTAACAGGCATGTGAACAAAAACGCAAAAAATGTCGAGCAGAGACGCACAAAATCAATATGTAATCAACTCTAAACGGATAAGCAATCGTCGTACGTTAACAATTATCCGACATGGTCCAAGAATCTAATTAGCAACAAGAAAGAAATCACTTAACTAAAAATGTCCCAAAATCAACTAACATAGATAACATGGATAGGTGATTACATCACAAAACTCAGCCATCCATTAATAAAAAATATATCGAATTTGCCACAAAATTGAAGTCTTAAAGAAAATCACTCGTCGGCATTAATATCGTGCTTTTGCTTCTTCGGTGAAGGTTTGTGGCCCTCGCCTTTCATCTTAGCTTCTCGTCGCTCCCTCTTCACTCCCTTCGCTTTGTTAGCAAGTGGTACAACACCAACCTAAATTCACAAATTCATTCGTAAAATTAAAAAAAGAAACATTTGCATAAATTCGGTCACTCTCAAACAAATGTGGATAAAACATATTGTGTGTTTCCAATCAGAAAACGATGAGAAAATGCACCCGAAACACCACACTACAGTTAAACCTCTATACATTAATACGGTCGGGACCAGGAAAATCTATTAATTAAGCGAATTATTAAATTATCGAGCTAATAATTTAACACGTTTTCACCGAGTCGGGACCCGGAGAAACTATTATTTAATCGAGGTTATTAATTTATCGAGGTTCTACGTTTGTTGATTATGCATTCCGACACAAGAATATTAAGCTCCTTTTTTTATATATACCTGCTGATCTGGCATATAGATCTTCCCAAGTTTGCCTTGTACAGCATCCTTGACAACATTTTTCTCCTGATAAAATAAACGAACGATCAGAAACCGATTGTTCTGCAATATATATAAGCGAACGAAATATTCCAACAATAGATTTCAGTCAATCGAACCTTCTTCTTAATTAACTCATGTGGTGTTTTCATTGCTTCTCTTCTTAGACTGTCGTCAGGATTACGATGCCTACGAACAACCATGTCCATAGACGGGCCGACCTCAATCAGCTCCATTTTCGGTACTGAAGTGCCGGATTTTTTCAGACGCATCGCGCAGTGAGAAAATAATATTTTATTCGCCGACAAAGCTGTGCACACGTAAACACGATCCAGGCCAGCCAGGTTCAGGTTTGTGATAACCTAGATTAATAGTCCTTAAACATTGTCATGAAATAGCACAAGCAAGAAAACTATAACACGAAGGGGAAAAAAAGAGAGAGAGAAAATCGATGATTGATTGAGACAAACCTCTCCACGGAATAGATCGAGTAAAACTTCCTTCAAATGTTTCAGCTCGTCTACCGTCTCGAAAGCTTCTCCGATAAAAGCAAAGAAGGGTTTAGACCCCATTTGAGGAGCAAACTTCTTGTCATACGAGAAAGACTGCATGCTTTTAAAATTTTCAATGCCAAGCTCTACAAGGTCGTAAATGTGGTGGTCGTAGGTTCGTCCAAGTACGAGATTGTTTGGCCTCTTCTTTGAGTGAGAACCATACTGCGTATGAAAAATAGGCACCACTGTTAGAAATTGATATGGAAAGGACAAAAAATATCATGTTCAAATCATAAACACATCTTCAGACGACCTGGAAAAGAGAACCTGTAAGTAACTATACAGGTCATCGATCCATTGAATCATGGCCAATATATAAAGTCCCTTGCGACCGACTGTTGTTTTGTCGAGCAGTTCTATATGGCTTAATATATTATATAAATTAGATGAAAATATGGTTTACTGTTGCCCTATTGACTCTGTTCGTGTGTGTGTTCATCTTTGTTGGGTAAAAAGTATCACGACATCTAAACCACAAAATCAGATATATGAATTTAGTGTATTTACTGATCAGGAGAGACATATATCCGCGAATTTCGCTCGTGTAAATACATCAATAACTTAAGGTTTGTACTACATTCTAACGAACATAGCAACCGTAAATTAATATTGCAACTTAAAGAGGTGATATGCCAGAAAATACAGATACAGCTTCACGAACCCCATTGGCAGAAAACGACTTTTCTCAGTGATTGTAAAGAACATTAAAGATCTCAAATTAACTTTAAAGATACAACGAATGCCCTAGAAAACAAGAACAGCTGAACTAGTTTATTTGATAAAATAAAAGCACAATTAACCAACCAAGTTAAATTACTCGGACAGAACTTCATAATTCAGTCAAATGAGCCCGATATGAGTAAAACATTATTAAATAAAAAAAAAGGAAAAATAAAATCATATTGCAGTATTAGGAAAACATACCACAAACAGGCTGCAATCTGTCTTGAGAGAGAAAAACTCGAGAGAAGCTTCACCACCACTCTCAAATGGTCTCACTTTATCATTTTTGCGCGAATACTTGACGGAATTTTCCTTCTTCAGGTGATAAATTTCCGTTAACAGAGAATTCAAAACATGGCTTGTTTTAGTACCGTGAAGTATGAGCGTCTTCTTCGCAGTTTCCACCTGTAATAAAATCGTAAAACCTAACATTAATCAATAAATAAAAAAATAAAAAAAGAAGGAAAAATTTCAAATACTTACGAGTTTCGGGGCAAGTTTTTGAAGCTCTCGTTTGACTCTAGCGTTCCTCGGGGTCTTTATTCTCATCATGGCTGATTCAAACACACAATCAGTAACTCCAAATATACAACATAAAACTCGTTCCGATATTACAAATATATCAACATTAACATTTAACGATGCAAAACAAAATACATCATTTTTACAAAACTAACTAAATGCAATAAAAAAATAAAAATAAAAATGTAACAGGTAAAACCCATGTTTCAATTCCATAAAAAATAGGACCCCTCTTTCAATTCCCTAAACAAAAAATAGCCCATGTTTCAATTTCAGTACAAGGTACATTTTTTTTTACTGAACTTTTTGTGTACAGTTTGGAAAAATAATCAGAGTTTTTACTTGAATAAATATTTCATGATGCAAATAGGAATCCTGAATTCGATTTTTCATATGAAATTAACCTACCCCTGTTTCAATCCCTTCAAACAAAAAGGCTCTGTTTCAATCTCAAGATGAGAAAATTAAAAAAAAAAAAAAAAAAAAAAAATTCGAAGCACTCCACCGGTAAAAGAAGCGAACTTTAACTCAACATACACACAGAACAAAATAAAATAAATCAAAAACCTTAATCAATGGAATGGATGGAACGATGCTTTCTTGGGAGAGAAATCAGACGAAGTTGAGGCAAAGGAACGCTAGAAAATGAGATAGTAATAAAAAAGAGGCAAAGGTTTTATTAGGGTTTCGTCAAGGATGATTTTAAAAGAAAAAAAGAATAAAGGAAGGAAAAGAAGGCTGCTATTTCCACACCTAATTTATCTCATTCCACCACCTTACTTTTAAATTTTAAAATACTCTTTTATGTTAAATGTCTCTAATGCAAATAATAATAGATTGCGGCTATATGCAATACTAATTTCACTTGTGCAAGACCAAATTCATGAAAGATTCAAAAATATTTTATTTTATTAAGATGAAATGATAAATATACCCATAAATTAAATTGACTTTTGTTTGCTCATGCAAGACCAAATACCAAATAATAATTAAAAAAAAAACAAAGAAAACGTGAAATTAAAAAATCCAGCACCCCCCTATGAAACCCTACCATACACCCAAGTTTCGCTGTCGACCGCCGCTCTTGATGCGACGTTCTTGATGTCTTGTACATATTTTTGAAACATTGGATGAATTGGAACAATAAACTGCGCCTTCGCATCGCCTTTTGCTATAAAAAATAAATGATTATTGAAATAAAAAGTAATTGAAAAATAGAAAGTTAAAAAAAATATGAAACAACTAAATTTCGACATTAAAGTGTCGAATATATGTCCATAAATTCGACACCTTAATGTCGAAATTTAGTATATTAGGACTAATTTGCTAACAGTTAAAATTCGACACTAAGGTGTCGATTTCGTACTCCAAAATCGACATCTCAATGTCGATTTTGACCTATAAAATTCGACATATACATGTCGACTGTGTCTGCGCGAGATTTGTTTTTGGAAAAACGATATTCTAGCTAAAAAACACATAAATGCATATTTTCTTGGGTTCTTCCACCGTATAATCTTCTATTTTGATGTCTTTTGACTCCGTACTTGCCATCTTTGTAAGATTTGTTGAGGTTTGATGATTTTGAATGTTTAGGTTTTGTGGGTTTATGGAGGAGGAAGGAGAAAGGTTTTGTGGGTTTTGGAAGATGGAGAAGATGAGAGTTGGTCTTGTGGTTTTGTGATAGGGTTATTTGTGTTTTTGAGTTTTTGGTATTGCATATTTGGAGTTTTTAATTTTTTTAACAAGTAAGGATATTATAGTATTTATACATTGAAAATTTTAATTTGGTCTTACACAAGTGAAATTAGTCTTGCATATAGCCGCAACCATAATAATATTCTTTTACACCGCAATTTTTTATCCAGCACAATCTCTACTATAAATTACTAGTACTAGCAATTCTTTTCGTGCGATACACGGGGTGGCATTGCAAAAAGAAGAAAATTTAAATATATGATGATTAAGTTGTATTAAAAAAATATATTAAAATAATTAATCGTGGAATTACAATTATTTCAAGATAAGAAAAAAAAACACAAAAACAAATTAGATAGGAAATTGATATGCCTATTGGCCAAGCCCAATAGATTCAGTTTAAAACCTATTTATACGGATGCCCGATCACATTCAAATAAGATTTTGGTCCGATAAATTGATCTCGGCCCAATAAATGAAGTATAAATAGACTTAAATTCATTTAATTAAGGTACACTTTTACTATTCAACCGATTCATCTGCTCGTATTCTCTGTACTATTACCAACTATCCGCACGTCTAACTTGAGTATAGGAGGGGTTTCCGCCGGATCAACCCCCGGCTTAGATTACGTGTTTTCTGTTCGTAGGAATCTTAAGTTAATTAGAGTGTTTCAGGATCATCTAGCTCGTGAGCACGTGACCTACTTGATCTCCCAACTCTTTCTAATCCGATATCCAGGTGATCTAATAATAGCATCATCATTTTGGCGTTGTCTGTGAGAATACATACCAGATCACGTAGCTTGCAAGATGCTCCTGAGTCATCCACTCGGAGAGAGAATGACACAACTAACAACCTCTCAATTCGCGGAGGCTCTGGCTTACCACCTCCTCTCCGTGCTCCGGATCCACCTCGCGAAGTCCAAGTGAATCCCCCTCGGGATCCACCCCTCGCTGATCCTCCACTACCTGATCCACCGCTCCCTGCTCCCCGAACGGTTCAGATAACCGATGAAGCACTCCAACGTATGATAACAAAAGCTTCTACTCACGCCGCCGCTGAGGCGCTGGCACAATAAATCGCCACGATGGGAGCAAATGCTCCCCCCGCGATCCTAGCAAATGCTCCACTCGCAGTGCCACGCATGGCACAACAACCGGTCCAGAACAACGACCACCGAATAAGTGTGTCCTCATCCACCTAGGACCCACGGTCCCGGATGCAGCTATCCACCAATCACAGGGAAACACAGTCCAGACAGCAACGCCAACGCTCACCCCAACGGGATAATGCATCTCCACGGAGAACTCCATTCCTTAATGAAGGAGAAGACGAGATAAATAGTAGAGTGTCTCGCCAAAACTCTTTCCCCCAAATGAACAATCCAATTGACGGAAGTGGGTCAGTCCCAACAATACGTAGTCCTTTCACCATGAACATCATCAACGAGATATTGCCTCAAGGAGTGAAAGTATCAGGCTTACCTTAGTTCGAAGGAACCACCGACCCGCAAGAACACATAGAGAAGTTCCATGCCATGGCGGATTTGTACGGCCCAACAGATACAACAATGTGCAAGATGTTTCGCACCACTCTTTCCAAGAGTGCCATGAATTGGTTCAATTCTTTACCTACAGGATCAGTCGAGAGCTTTTCTCGATTATCGCAACGCTTCACCAACCAATTCGCCATCAACAAGTAATACGCCAAAACCCCAGCACACCTCTTCTCTATCGTACAGAGGGACTACTCAGTCACTTATTGCCAGGTTAGAGACGTACGCGAAACTTGGCAAACTGAGCGTGAATAAGATCTATGATTGGATCAGGGTTAAGGCCCCGATCAAACCATAGGGTAAATTACTTTGGGATTCGTCAATAACTCCAAAGCACGTGTTTCTTCTATGAATGGAAGCTCTGGATCACATGGCCACGATGGACCGGGTGGAGCGAATGGGTTCTCCAACCGAACACTCTAAATGTGTCTTGTGTGGCGTGGTAAACAAAATAGGAAACACCTTTTCTTCAGATGCAACATGTCCCAGGGAGGTGTGGGACAACATTAGGGTGTGGCTAAGGATCATCGGAGACCGACCACATTGGATGCAACACTCAAGTACTCAAGAAGAAAGTAGGGGAAAGTCTCGCCGTAGCAAGACGAAACGATGTGCACTTGCCAGCGTTGTTTATCATATTTGGGCGGCTCGGAACAAGTGGAAATTTGAGAATATGTAAACTACTCCGAAGGATCTAACAACGAAGATCTAAACGTGTATATTTTGCAATGTTTAGCCAACACCCGGAGCTTGCTGTTTTGAGGACGGGCGGACAACCGGGCAACCTTATGCACCCGTGAACAAAGAGTCGAAGAACTAGTTACTAGGGTTTGTGTTTACCCCTTGTTGTAGTATGGTTTAGTATGTTTTCTTTTTACTTTATTGCGTTCTTTCATAGACTCTACAATTTATTTGGGTATTCCCCGTTGTAATTTTCTACGACTTTTTTGATTTATAATATATACATTTTGATAAAAAAAAAAAAAGATTTCATTTTTTACAAATGAAGAGAAAAAACATCAATATTGCCCATCCCTAACTTAATTTATCATTGTGCAGTTTGCAACATATTTTGTACCCAAATAACCAAATACTGAGAGAAATGTAAGTGGGATTCGAAAAAAAAATGTAAATGATATATGCGACTCGAAGATTGGTAGAAGAAATCATAAACGACGCCAAGCAAAAAGCTTTTTATCTTCATTTTTTACTATATGTCATTTCATATGAAGGAACTCAGTCAGGGCCATGCTCGCCAGAATGGTGCTATAGTGGCCGGAACGATGTTAGTCGAACCGGAACGGAGGCGACAACATTTTGGCTAATAGCGGCCAATGTATTAGAAATGCGAAAATCGGCCGACCAAAAACCCTGTTGTAGTGTCCGATAGCAGCGATTTATTGGTCGGAACGACTGAAACGGACTGTAAATCAGCTGCAATGGGGAATAAATCGACCAAAATATTATTATCTTAGTTAAATAATAACGATAATATAAAAATAAAAATTTACTTAGTATGTTTAGTATACTCTGTTCATTTACCAAAAAAGGTTGAAATGGTAAATTTTTACCGAAAGATGTAATGTACAAGGAGAGAAATATATTGAAAATATTGATATACTAATTGAGGAAACAGATTAGAAATAAAAATACTACAGCCATTTGGGGAGACCCATGGCTTAAGGACGATGGTAACTTCAAGAGTCTCACACGCCGACTGTTGAGTGTATATTTTACACTCAATGTATACTTTCTTACGAGGATTTTTGTATACTTCTATTGATTTTATGATGCTTAATGAGTGGTTTATTGTATTTTAGGTACAACTTGACGATTTGGAAGTTCTAAGGACGAAATGAGCCAAAAAAAAGTCAAAAACGGGCAAAAACGGAAGAAAACAAAATATGCTGAAAATTGGCTGAAAAGTGGCCCGGGCGGCCGTGCCAATTTTAGCCTATTTTTGGCACGGCCGCGCCAACTGCAGAAGTTGGGCATAAGGTTTCGGCGATTTTCGCGCGGCCGTGTGAGAATTACACTGATTTTCGCGCGGCCGCGCCGAAACACGCTGGAGACAATTGTGGACTTTTAATCACACAAGGAAACCTAAATTATTCTACCAATTTGGGACATCTATTTAAGGGCAAACCAAGCACGAATCTTGAACACAATCTTGGAGCGAGAGGAGGAGAGAACGAAGAATCGAAGACGGAGAATTGACAAATCTTCATCACAATTCTTCTTTTATCTATCTTTTCTTAATCTATGTCTTTTTATATTTTTATTATGTTATTCGTAGAGAACATGAGTAGCTAAGTTTTTAATCTAGGATTTTGTTGGAATAGGGGATGGTGAACCCGTTTTCTTGAGATTATGCAATTATGATTTTATGATTATTTCTTCTACTTGTTATGATTGTTAGTGCATGAACTTGATCAATTTATGT